TTTTAGCATCAAAGCAAACTCTACTGCCTCTCTACATTGTGACACCATTCTTTCAAAAGGGCCAGCATGAATTTTAATTACCACTCTTCTCTCCCTAACTTTCGTAACAGGCAGTTTAAGAATAAAATACTGATGAATTATTAGTACTTCTATTATTCATCAACAAAAAGTCTGAGGAAAATCATTCTTGAGAATTAACATCTTAAGCTAAAAGAAATTTAGTATAGTTAAATATAAAAATATTTGATGAATCGTTTGGATCTAAGTACTCAATACTGGGGGCAAAGCAGTACTTTCATACACCTCCACAGCAATAAGCCTGAAAGTGAATACAGCTGCCAAAAAGATATCAAATACAAACTTGACAAGTGCTGAAGAGTTAAAAGAACAAATATAAGGAAAGACAAATAAAGGAAAAGACCAGTCTCTCTGAATGGTAAGTAGGTATGCACACCTACAGAAATATACCCTATTTGTAAAGTCAGCTTTGGCTAATGTCAACAATGAAGTAACTTAAAAGCAAGTTAATATCTGGTTACTGAGAAATTGATACTAAAGCCTAAAAACAATTTTTTTTCCCAACTAAATTTTCACTACCTGTTATCTGACACTTTACCCTCAAATGTGTTAACAAATTCATACTTCACAATACTTAACATCAAACCAAGGTTTTAACATACTGGATCTTATTCACTGGTGTTATCTAAGCAGAGTCCTGGTACAGTGCCACAGGATAAGCACTGGACCACAAAATTAGTTTAAACTCTAAGGTTGGTGGTTCAAATTCACCAGTCAGTCCTTGGAAACCCTATATAAGGTTGCTATGAGTCGAAACCGACTCGATGGCATTTAACAACATTATCTATACAGGGTAGTTTAAACTAGCTGACAGCCAACATGCTTCAAGATCTAGAATTCAATGATTCAATGTACGAGTCTAAGTCTGCAGTTTTTAAACCTGTGATTGTTCTTTATCAAACTGCTAATGTACTCTCAGCATCTCTTAGTGTCTCTGGTTTCTAAGGAAAATTTTGTCCTGGCAAGTCTCTGTAGTCATAGTCTAACAGGAATAGTTTTGTATATATCTTCTTCCAACTCAAATCAGGGAATGGTGTCAGTGTCTCTACTAGGTATCCATGTGGTACTTTACACCATCATACCTCAAATGAAAATGAGACAGGAGAGTTTAGTGTAACTAGAGTCACAAGAGAGCCTTAAGACTGGTAAGTGGGAATGTTGAAGGCTCTAACCTTCCATAACTAATACAACAATAGCTGGTCTCTTAAGAGGTAAAGAATGAAACTGTCCCAGAAACATTACATAATATTCAAAGAGAGGAAAGACCCATGCACTCAGCATAACAGGCTGAGAATATAGACTTAAAGATTCTAATCTATCCTGGATAAGATCTACAAGATCCAATTTCTAAAATGCAAAGTTTCATGGAGAAATGCATCCCTGCAAATGTCTTAAAGTACCATCCTTCCGAAGTAAGGCTATGGTGACCCTGGGCCAGCCTCTCTGAAATGCCAATGGGATCCTTTGAGGCAAGTGAAAAGTAAGCTCTGAGAGACTACTGAATTTAAGTGCCATGACTACTTCAGTACTCATCTAACCTAGAGAACCAGGGTGATGATCTCACCAGAAAAGGACAGCTGGAGAAGAAGAGATGGATCAGTCATTTCAAAAGTACACTATTACCTTGGGGTGGCAGGACAGGACATTCTGAGAGACAGAAAAGAAAATTAGAATTCCAACAAAGGAGCCAATAATTACTGTGTGTACCAGAGTAAATAGGCTTGTCTCAACAGATCTAGTTTCTCTGAGAACTGGGAAATAACATGACAGCCAACATGAAAGGTTATTTTCTTAATCTTTTAAGACCAGTGTGTCCTCACCTCATTTTGACTTTTATCTATCTGAGTCACTATCACTCAATTAAATCTGCACCTCAGCTTAAGCCAATATAAAAATATATACATGTTTACTGTAGAAAGAGCAATGCCACCACTTAGGATCATTTCATTAAACTATGAACATTCTGTTAGCTTAAGACAGACTATGTATCATTCCAGAACAATCATTCTAATGAAATATAGACTGAAGACTGGGACCCTGAAATGAAGTTACAATTGGCAATTCACATACTTATGTTATTTATAGTATCTATTACTGGAAAGCAGTAAAGAGAACAAGCTTCAGTCTAAATAAAGTGATGCTTACTATGGCAAGAATAAACAACCATATACTAATAGTCATTCCTTATTTACAGACATTAGGGCGCTAAACATGACCTACTGCTATATACACACAAAATAGACATAAGATGATGCGTTTAGAGGAACCCTAATACTCTAAACTGTAAGGAGTTACTATTAAATAAAGGGGGAGAAAATCCACAAATACCCTTCCATTTAATTTATGGATAGGAAGATTAGAAAGGCTGCCTAGTCAATATGCCATAATTCCCAATGCTATTATATGAGAGGACTTCAAAGTTTGTGGGAAAATGGAATGAAAAGATAATGGAATCTTTCTTGAACTTTCTGAAAGTTAGTTAGTACAGCAATGTGTTTAGGATCAAAACTAATTTTTAATCCTAACAACATAATGCCAATTTGAAACACCCAAGATACTATTATTTCCCTATACCAAAAAGGTTGCCTCAAAGAAAAATAGATTAATTGGCAAATCATGAATTCAGGTTTGGAGACTTGGTTTCTAAAGATTGGTAACCTTGGACATGTCACAGCCTCAGTCTCAATACAAGAAAAGGATGACCCCTCGCTAGCCCCTGTCTATTTGGCCCTAGAATGAAAATGAGAAGAAAACTCTACAAGGCACTCTAAGCTCTCAGACACACAGGCTATTCAAACATGAATGGTTTTCATTTACAGACTCAGTCAATCAGATAACCTCCTGGAAGACATTGTTACCTGATAGTTTCTAAAATCAACTTTGGACTTATCAAGTCCATCATAAGGAAACAAGTTTACAGGCTACAAAATTTTTTAAAGTCATTAGGACTGAGTTTTGTTAAAAATCTACAAAAGTAGATATAAAAGTAATAATTTTCCTAAAGCATACAAGCTTAATAAAATCATGCAATTTAAAAAAGTATCAGATTGATGAAAAGAAAGTAGATACATTATTACCTTCCTTCATCTTTTATGAAAGACAAAGGGCAGTGTTGAGGAGCACATTATGGACACAGAATTACATAATCCGTAGAGCTTTTCCCTAGCATCTTTTATACTGTGTCCTCACCAAAAAAAAAAAAAAAAAAATCACTTCACTTGTGATAAACAGATTCCCATTCATGATAATAGCAACTAAGTACCAAGTCATGTCAAGACAGAGGGTTCTTTAAGTACACAATTTCTGTAGTATCCTCCAAAAACACACTACTATGCCCAGAAATTTTTGCTTGTGGCCCCTCTCCTGAACAAGCTATTTATTATTACACTCTATGAATGACAAGGTATGCATGTCAAACTTTACTGGTGGTCAATTTGTACCGTAACATCCTTGGTCTCTAAGTTGCTATAACTTTTTAAACAAAAACGTAAAGGCCATTTACAGATAGATGGCAAGTCTTCTGAGAAGAAACTATATGAGGAAAAAACGTTTTAACAAAGATGCAATATGATCTCAGAATTAAATGTTCCCTCTAAAAAGTCAACCTCAACATTCACATCTATCTAATCAAGTAAGGCAATCTAGCACAAAAGCAGTATCAACTTTTCTTAAGTTTCTAGAAATTTCTCTTCCACTTGGAAACTATTTGCTAAATAACGAATTTTACCAAATATCAATAACGAAGCTAGATAATTAGTGTAGTACAAGTAATCATCTGTTTGGCATAAGTTATCAAACACTGCGCGGGGGCTACTGATTCTCAGACTATATATATGTTGTTGTTAAGTGCCACAGAGTCGATTCCAACCCATAGCAACCTTGTATAGGGTTTCCGAGGAACAGCTGGTGAGCTTGAATATAAACAACCTTAATCTGACCGTGAGGCTCATCGGGAATGTTTACTTCATTTTCTCCCCCAGAATTGTTTAACAATACAATTATGACATGTAACTTTATGAAGACAGAGTTGGTGGTTATTTGGGTATGGCAAAGGCAGAAAAACAGAAAGGGGGGTGGGAAGGAAAGGAAGTGGAACAAAATTTCCCCCAACATTCTAGAGCCTGGTGGTACAGAACAGATACAAGGGAACATCCATCCTTTCTTTTGGCAATCAGAATCCATAGGCTCATACAAACAAAATGAACCTAGCAAACTAACTTGTCCTGAAAAAAGTACCACACAAGCACATTTTCAGCACATCATCTGGTTGTACATTATCTAAGATATCAATTTAAAATAATAACGAATTACAGATACAGAAAAAAAAAATCTTTGAAATGAGCAGGTCTGCAATTTTAGGATGAGACAGATTACCAGACTTGGCAATGCAGACAATATACCTATTCTTGGTATCTTCATGTAGATTCTAAGCGCTGTGAGAATAGTTGGTCTCTCCTTACTTTGGTATAAAAAAATTTAAACCACATTTGCACACTTCAGTCTATTAAACAAATTTTGCTTCATTTACACTGAAGATTTACTTTCCTCTATCTCTAAGAAAATAAAGTCTTGCAAATAGATGATTTTCTGCTAAGTAAAATTTGGCTAAACCTACACCATAAACAATGCCTGAGATGCAACAGTTACATTTTTTTTTTCTTAACAAAGACCAGTATTTGCTTAAGTTAGTGTCTCACCATATCCTTAAAAGTCCATACCCATAGCCACTGAGTCAATTCTGACTCAGAGCAACCCTAGAGGACAGAATAGAACTGCCCCATAGTGTTTTCAAGGCTGTCATCTTTATATGGAAGCAGACTGCCACATCTTTCTCCCACAGAGGCTGGTGGGGTCGAACTGCTGATCTTTTGGGTTAGCAGTCAAAAGCTTAACCACTATGCCACCAGGACTCCTTTAAAAGTTCATACAGAGAAATAAACAAACATGAAAATTCCAAGAGAACACACAGCAAAAAGTCCAATATTTAGTATTAGTTTAACTTTTGGAGTCTCTTCCAGCATTTGTAAACAAACAGCCTCCTCCTCCATCAGGTCTCTGAGACTCCTCTTGCTGAGGCTCTTACTTTTAAAGCCACAAAACCAGTCTATGAAGTTCCAGTAACGGCTTCTAGCCTCTGTTTCTTTCTTTCTCTCTTTCTCACCCATGAGAGCTGCTTGCCCATTGGAGTAAGCATCCACTGGTGTTTCTGCCTCAGAGTGACCTAAGGAAGCCACTGGGTTTCCCTCCTCTCTACATGTCACCAGAAGATTCACATCTTCAGGCTGAAGGCCCTTAATGCTGTCTTCAGACTTCCCGTTGGGAATGTGGTTGATGGCCTCACTATTCTCACTGCATCTCAGAATGCTTTTCTCTTGCATTTTATATGGTTCATCTTTCAGAGAGCAGCTCTCCTTAACCACCAGGTTCTTCTTAGACCAGAAGGTGGTGGTACGAATCTGTTCTTTTGTAGGAGGTGGTGTGAGAAGGCTAACAATTACAGTAATGAGGCCTGTGACCCAAAACAGTGCAGTGGCCACATACATGTAATGAATGTCTTTGATAAAGCCTGGTCTATCATCATGTTGGTCACATTCTGGGGCACGGTAGACAAAGGCCAGCGTCAAACGTACTGCTCCAAGAACAAAGCCAGCCATTCCACCATAGAAAGCCCCTTGTTCATTGCAGCGCTTCCAGAAAATTGCCAGAAGGAACAGGGCAGCAACTGGGGGTGTCAGATAATCTGCCACCTCTTGAATGTAAAGGTACATCTGGCCTCCTTGCATCTCCACAATGATTGGCACCCATGCAATACTGATCACCACCATAAAAGCCACAAATATCCTCCCCACAATCATTAGTTCCCGGGAGCTTGCACTCTTGCGGATGAGTTTGTACACATCAAGGGTGAATATGGTGCTGGCACTGTTAAAGATAGAGTCCAAGTCACTCATCAGCGCTGCAATCATCACAGCCATCATTAGGCCCCGGAGGCCTACAGGAACCAACTTCATCACCAGGCGAGGGTAGGCAATATTGGAGCAGCCTGCTCTGCTTCCACAAACTTGCATGCAGTGTTCTGGGTTGATGCAAGCTATATCATCAACAAAAAGTATCCTGGAAATCATTCCTGGGACCACTATGATAAACATTGGCAGAAGCTTCAAGAAGCCAGCCATAAGAGTAGAGCCTTTGGCATGGGCAATGTTTTTGGCCGCTAAAACCCTCTGCACGATGACTTGGTCCGCACACCAGTACCATACTGAAGCTGGGGTCTGCCCAAGAATGAATCCAGGCCAAGGGACATCTTCATCTGTTGGATTCCGCAACATTTTCAGAGCATCTTCCTTAGGGGTGACATTACAATATTTTGTGTTGGAAAGGTTGTATGTCAGCAAGATGGAAGGGATATTAGGAGATGCAGCCATGTATCTTCTCTTAACTTCCTGAAACCCGCCAATCTCCATCATGCTAATAACCATTAGGGTCAGTGCTCCAACGATCATGAGCAGAGCCTGTAGAGTATCTGTGTATATCACTGCAACAAGGCCTCCAGTGACAGTCAGCAAGGCAGTCATACCAATAAGCAAGATGACAGATACATAAAGGTTCCAACCCAACGACTCTTGGATAAAGAGGGCACCTGAATACAGATCCACTGAGAGCTTGGTGAAGATATACAGGATCAGAGACAAGGCTGCAAAATACACCTGAATCCTATGGCCACCAAATCGCTTGGACAAGTATTCAGGCATGGTGTATACCCCTGACCGGATGTAAATTGGGATGAAAACCCATCCTAGAAGTTGCAAAAGCAGTAAGGCATTGAATTCCCATGCGCCCACAGCAAATCCACTTGCAGCTCCAGATCCTGCCAGCCCAATGAAGTGTTCACTCCCAATATTGCTCACAAACAGAGAGGCACCAATTGCTACCCAGGTCATAGAGCGCCCCGCCAGGAAGTATCCGCTCACGGTGCTTCGATTAGACTTCCACATGGCAAAAAAACCAATGCACATGACCAGGATAAAATACAGAGCCACTATGGCAATGTCTGCTGTCTCCAATACAGCCCTCATTTTTGGTAACTTTGTGATAAAAGCTTCCAATGATAGAAGTGTCCAATTTTTTTTTTTTTTATTAGTACCCTCAGCCAAGTCTGTAAAACCATACGTGAACTGGACTACACAGAGCAACACAGGAGGTCAAAGTCTTTGTCCTTTGGTTTGCTGTCTTGATGGTGGTGGTTGTGATAAACTTTGAAGGAGACAGTTTAAATTTTCCTCCGCTTCTTAATTGGGATTGAGAACTTAGCTCGTACTCTTAATCCATCTCCACAAGACCATCAGCATTTACTCAGGTGCTGGAGGAGAAATTCTGAGTTGCAGCTAAGTCTAGTGAAGCCTACTGTACCAACCCTGCAAGGCAGCAAAGACAAAAGACAAATTAGAGGAGGGTCTCACCAAGTGATGAGGAAACTTTCAGTCTAGCAAACACATGGCGCAACAAAACATTCTTTATAAAAAGAAAACAAAAATTTAAAATACACTTCTGTTCCACAGAAAAAACAGCAATCTATACTTCTGAAGCTGGCACTTGGACATCAGTGAGACTATGTATCATTCTGAAATAGGTACAAAAATATACCAACTTTATAGCTAAGTGGGTCTAACTTCTCCAGGAACTAAGAGCTGACTACATGACACTGTTCTTTCTTGTCTTAATGGGGTGGTCTCAGAATAGAATAGGCACCAAGATCTTAAAGAATCTGCAATGCTTTGGGGGGGGAGGGGAGACGGACGGACAGACGGACTAATTACTAATCTTAAATGCACCAAAATTAACTTCAAGTACTATAAATTTCAAGAGTATAAAGCATTTTTTATGGTCCAGTTAGGGCCTAGATGAAAAAGGCAGGTGGTACTTACTATGGGATATCATCAACACCCAGAGTCTTTAAACACAGAGAGCAAAGCTGATTTAGTTTGTGCCAATCTTCTGCTATAAAACAAAACTTGCCTAAAATTCTAACTGCATATGAATATCTGTTCATTATCTTATAGTAACTTAAGATTTATCCAATGACTCCACCTTAAAGAAAATATGACACTTCGCACTAGAAACATACAACTTACAAAAAGACCCTAAAATTGTCATCTTTCTTCTGACTAGAATATGTTAGAAGATTTTTTAATTTATTTACAAGATACAATTTTCTTCTTTCTCATTAGGTAACATATCCGAGAACCTCTGCGAGGATAAAGGCAATGGCTCAAGGTTGAAATTTGTTAAGTAATTTTTCCTCTTACTATTTTTTTGCTGTTGTTGTTGAAGGCGAGGGAAGGGAAAATTCTTGGAGGATGGGAAGAATAAGAGATATGTGGTTATTATTATATCTTCCAAACCTAAACAAAATAAATATTTCCCAACCAGTAATGTCAAGTCATTATTAGTAAGTCAGTAACAGTTATTTTTAAATCCTGGATTAACATAACTACTCTACAAAGCAGATATTAAAATTTACTTAAAATTAGGCATATGTACATATTTGATGTTTTTCTCCTGAAAAAGAAATTCTGAATTTTTAAAGCAAATTTAAAATGCAGCTGTTAAATAACAGATCACTGTGAAAACCAGTATTACTCAACCCAATAACATCCACAAGTTCATGTCTCTGTGACGTCTCCGTTCATATTAAGACAACCTCAGAGTAAAATATTTATCTGTGCTAGAAAACGATGTTGCTTTTTGATATATAGGCATTTACCTTTAAATGATGCAAAAACTATCTCCGTTTAAAACTTTTCAAAATATATATATACCCCATTGGCAAGTAAGAGCTGGAAATAATGCCTCAAGATAAATACCCTAAAGAATTAGGTTACTAGTTCTAATTCATCAAGCTGCCTAGACAGAAACATCTTTATGCCTTTTTTAAGCATAAAGCATTTTATAAAAGTTATGCTAAGAAATCTGATTAAAATCCTTCCTTCCAAAAAAAATCTATGCTAATAATGACTGATAAAAATAAAATTGCCACAAGATAAAAGCACTAAAACACACTATGTTGGGAGCTGTAACTGCCAAATCTTAAATTATTGGTCACATATCTTTGAACACTTACCACACCCCCCAAAAACACTTTCACATTTTTAAATAAATATTTCAATACAATATTAAGAGTCAACTAAATTTTTAATAAAACCTAATTATATGACTAATGTTGTTATTAAGCACTGTTGAGTCAATTCCAGTGCATAGCGACACTGTATTAGGTTTCCAAAGAGTCACTGGTGAGCTTGAACCACCAACTTTGTGGTTCAAACCCATCTTGTAGTCCAGCTCATTAACCCACAGCATCACACCATGACTCCATATGACTAATAGACATTAGTTAAAAGAGTATCATCTTTAATGTTTCCATGTAAGTTGTTGTTATGAGCCATGGAGTCGGTTCCGACTCATAGCTACCCTGCACAGTTTCCGAGGCTGTAAGTCTTTATGGGAGCAGAAAGCCTCATCTTTCTCCCGTGGAACAGCTGGTAGTTTCGAACTGCTGACCTTGAGGTCAACACTGTGCTACCAGAGGAACAGGTCTTAATTACAACAATATGGTTGTTGTTGTTGTTGTTGTTAAGTGCCGTCACCGACCCATAGCATTAGCAGTTCTGAAATGCTGCCTTCAATAGAGTTCAGCTCTTCCTGCCACCCAGCATGTAAGCCATACCATTGCCCCTCATTTCAGGTTATACAGATAAGTCTAGCTCACATGTCTTCTCAATGACAGTAACTGAATATGTGTTTCTACAACAAGAGACAAAAAAGCACCCAGAAATTTGTTTGATTGTTTTTTGCTTTTCATGAGGGTGGAAGTGAGGGAAGGATGGTTGTTTCAACAGCTTATCTGTTCAGAGAATGAACTGTTCAGAAACAAAACAAGTACTTCCTCCCTCACTAGGAAGCACTGCTATCAAGATTAAGTAGCATTGCTTTTCACTGTCAAATACGAGGGGGTTTCAAAAGTTCATGGAAATTTTAATGAAAACACAATGGAATTTTTCCACGAACTTTTTGAAGCACCCCCTTTTTATACATGTGAAATAGGCATCTATCTTAGTCATATTCAGCACCCTGCTGAGTTGCTAGACTGGTCAAATTTCCCACGCTAGGTCTGACTTCTTAACTTCCCTAGAAAAGTAGGTAAACTAGAGAGAAAAGACATGTTCTGGCCACAAAAAGGTGGAAGAAGAAAGAGGGCAAACACTAGCTCAAGGCTGAGTCCTCAACTCTTTTGCCTCCTCAGACCCTTCAATGCTAGTTGCCTCTCACTGGATACCAGTGAACAGGTTTTCCACTGGAGCAGGTTTTTAGATTTTTCCTTTTTTTTTTTTTAATTCAGAGCTAAAGCGCACCTGGAAAAGATTCGGAAAGGAAAAACAAAACCAAAAATGGGTCAACTAACGATGTTCTTGTTGTTAAGTGCCATCAAGTCAGTTCTGAGGAGCAGCTGATGGGTTTTGAACTGACCTTGTGGTTTGCAGCCCAATGCTGATCTTATAGTGCCATTTCAGGAAGTATAAAATATAGACTATACAATACAATACAATGTGATGAAATTTCATTTCCTAGTCAAGAATCAGTCTTGGATTTCAACCTTTCAAGATACAAGTTGCACATACCCTAAAAATGGTTCCAAATATTACATAGAAACTTTGTATATTTTATCTTTCTTTTAAAGCAGTAAATATTTTTGACATAAAAAATACAACACTTCCAGGGTTTCCTTTATTTTTAGGAAGCATATACATTGAGAAAAATTTTTCTCCAGCTGAAATGAAACTTTCATTTGTATTTTCATATTTATAGGACCAAACTGGTTCACAGTTCGAGTAAACTGTGTAAGCGAGAAATGTGGTGGTGGTACTTGTTTGCTATCAAGTTGGTTCTGATTCACAGTGACCCGGTGTAGGGTCTCCAAAACTATAAATCTTTACAGGAACAGAAAGTCTCCTCTTTCTCCCGCTGAGCAACTCAAGAATTCTAACTACTGACTTTACAATCAGCAGTCCAATGCATAGCCCACTATGCTCCCACAGCTCCTGCAGTGAGAAATGTAGGACCAGAAACAAAACAGCCATTAACTATGAAATGTGGGTTAGACCATTGGTATTATATTTTTAAGGAAAACAACACTTTCCAAAATGAGAATTAAGATTTCTAGACTGGTAAAGAAACAGTCCACTAATAGTGGTGGGCAGCTTCTGCCAAACCTCAACCACAAGAGTATTTTGAAAAACAGTAGACTGCCCTCCAAGGCAGCAACTTCTTTCTTAGAAAGTGAGGTTTTATTGACAGCTTTACACAGATTTAAAATACAATTTCAGTAGTTTCATGTATTTGAGTGAACGGAATTATGACTAAAGAATTCATCCAAATACAAAAAAGACTACAAAAAAGTATGTTACATTTGACCAACTGGAAAGAAGAACCAAATTAAAATCAGTTACTAAACTACTGAAATTATTCTGGGACATTCTGGATAAAGAAGGACTTATATAGCCACCTGTCATTCAAAAAAATAAACTAGAGAAGGATCAAGAAAAACAATCCTTAAGCTCAGTCAGGACTCTGAATTCAAAGAGGCACTTGGGCAAACAAAGGTGAGAAGACTGTGGTGACCCTAAAACTAACCAAATAATGATCTATTTGGCTCTGAAGTCTATTTTAAAATCTTATTTTCTAAATTGTAATCACCTTTCTGTAACCTACCAAAACTAAAAACTCAAAAGCAAATCCAAAACTTTGTTTTCTCCCACCCCTACCCCCTCAAATAGCAATATACAGACTCTGACTTACTACCACCAAATTTTGAGGGAGAAAGATGAGGCTACCTGCTCTCATTAAATGACAGTCTTGGAAACCCTATATAGAGTTGCTGTGAGTCAAAATAGACTCAGTGGCATGGGTTTGTTTGTTGTTTTATAAGAGGTAAAATACAAGAGAAAACAAAATTTTTGTAAAGTTCAACTTACAGACATTTCATACATGTTTTCACTTCTGTCATTTTGATTCAAGGTCC